GAGGTAATTGTAATGTATCCTGATGCTCGCCACACGCCATACGTTGAATGCCTTCTCACCAGGGAACTTGGCATGGACAACATGGCCACGCAAACCGTCTTTACATATGTGGCACACCTTGGCGCAGGGAAACCTGCCAAAGTCTTTGGCAATATACCAGACTACAAGGGAAACCTCAATCTTTCCGACGACAGCAAATTTCACCCGCGCGTACACCTTGCACTGCAGTATCTCGTGCGAAACTATTTCCGAGTTGAGCGCGTAGTAGCCGTGAGATTGGCCAAGAGCGCGTTCAATCTACCTGCAGCGAAGTACGCCGCCGGGTCTACACTGATCCACTACGACAACGATGTGAACCCAGCCTTCCACTATTATGAGTGCGTAGGCACCGGCCTGAACATCTCTCAAATCATTGGTAGCACTCACTCCATACTCATCCCGTGCCTGACGTCACAAGTTCCTTCCCCAGGATTTCATGACGACCTTGCCAAGTATCAACACTTGGACACACCGTCTGGAGGACCCGACCAGCCTGAGAACAGGCCTCCTCCAGACACCCCAGGTGTTTCATCACCGAGTGAAGCATGCCTGTCTACAATCTACGAAGAAAGCGAGGAACACGACATCGAGGCTATGATGATGGAGGAGTGGTACGATAAGCTACGTATGGACCTTCATCCCACAACGGCTATCGACGACTATCTCTACTGCGTCCCAGCAACCATGCTGCTCGACCAATATGTCTTGGTCTCAGCATCTGTGGACGAGGAAGATACCGCTGTGTCGGAGATGCTCGGAGACGAGCCTGAACTACAAGAGCCCTGTCTTGTCTCTTTATGCTCGACTACACCTGACGAGGGCTATTCTCTTGACAGTGATGAACACGGCCCCTATGTCGAGCTATGTTTCACGCCAGAAATGTCAAAGATCGTTGGATCAGGCCCAACTCGCACAGCTCGAACCAAACATGGTCGCAACGATGAGAGTATACGTATCATCGGCTGCTAAACGTGCTGTGGTAGTCAAGGAAGACGACCTACTCACCAAAGCCGACATAGCAGCACATCCTAAAGAGGTTAGTGAAGCCTTGCACACCGAACTCAAGATCTGGCTTGACAACCGATGCTTTGAGATATATGACCTATCACAAGCTTCCAACACCTTGACATCTAGATACGTATACAAGTGGAAGTTTGTGAAAGTAGGCACCGATAATGTTAAAACTACCCGTCGATTCATGGACACGGAGGCTTTCGATGTAGAAACCTTCTCGGGAATTGCCCGCAGACAGTCCCGGAGGCTTTTGGCAAGTGAGGCGGCATGTCATTCAGAATGGATCTTAGCATCTATGGACATCTACAAAAGCGTTCCTCAAAGGACTGACATATGAGGAACTTGCTCATGCCACCGGCGAGGAGACTCGCATGGTTTGCTTCACCCTTCCACCAGGAAGTGCCCAGGTGCTTCGCACCCTACCAGGCCTCTTCTTGTGATGAAAGCCGACACTGCCTCAGGTGCCTCAAGCCAGGAACGGGTACAAAGGACGCCCCAAGAGCGTTCCCCCTCAAGCTTCGTGCGACTGCACGAGCTATAGGCCTTACACCGACAAGCTACGATCCTGAGTTTGAATTCAGTCAGGATCTGTTAATCGCAAACCATGTCGACGACGCCAATATGACAGGCCTAGAGAAAAACGTAGACGACGATGTACAACGTGTCGAAAAGGTGTTTGGCAAATGTATGCTCAACAAACATTATTACACGAATTGCGCCGTTCGCTACACGAAGAATGAACAAGGGGATGTGATCATGGACCAGGACGAGTATATTAAACAACTACGTCCTATCCCATATCCTGAGCTTACGGGAGCAGCGTCAGACGCCAAAGCTACCAAACTCATCACCGACATGTTCGTTAGCCTGCGAGGAGCTCTCGCCGATGCCCTTCTTATTCAAGTCTGGCTCATGGTGTATGCGGCATCTCTCCAGAAGATCCAAGAGCCCACAAACTTACAAGTCAGACGACTGAGTGTTGTGACGCGAAAGCTGATCAGCAGCCCGAAACGCATCGCCTTCCCTCGGATGAAACCGACGAATGAAGTAGACATACATAGCGATTCGGGGTATCGGAAACTCACCGGGGAGGGACGATGAAACCGAGGGCTACGGCATTCGTGGTGCTAACGTATTACGGCGGGGAAACTCGCCCCAAGGCAAATCCGTCGTTCACCTTTGCGACGGACTATGCAAGTCACACCGACTGCAGGGGAGGTCCAGATATGCCGCTGAGGCACTTGCAGTTGCACATAATCTTGATGAGTGCTACCCCACGCTCATCACTCTCCACGAGCTCAAGGCCGGAGCACTTACCCCACGACAGCTACGAGATATGCGTGAAGTTGGAGGCCTAGCTATCAAAGTGTCCCTTACTAGGTCTGTATACAAATCGTTTTCCAGGAAAGACCTTAAGATACCGACGGAACGTATTTTGCTGGGACATATCAGCTGGATACGTGAGCTCATGGATATAGGTATTGTGCATAACGCACAGTGGTGTGACACTAGAGACAATGACCGCAGACGGGCATACGAAGGGGGGTATCGATCGGGAGCTGCTTTTGGAAATGTCAGGCACTCAGTCATTTAAGTATGACGTGAAGCAGTTTGTTCCCTTCCGGGGCCCCGAGGACAATACCAAACCTAAGTCGAATCAATTTTAGCGTGTCCTTGTTGCCCCTGCGGTCCAGTTTGCCAGCGCGGGCGCCTATTGCGGAGGCGCCCTCTTTCTTGCTCGGAAACGAGCCTTGCTTTTCACGCTTGGCAACGAGCCTGTTCAGATTGGTTCAGGCTCTTTGCCTTAATACCCGTTTGCCCGGAGGGGAATAGCCTGTTTGGCTTACCTCTAGCCGGGCCGATAGCCCTTGTATATCCGAGGGGATATCCTGCGCGCGCGTGGAAAAAGTTTTGCGAGGAAGCTCGCCGGCGAATAATTTCGCCCTCCAGTCTGGTGGTTGACCAGACTGCGTGTGCTGTTTTCCTTGCAAACAGAGCTGCGCGCCTGTCGAGAGCCTAGCGACCGCGCGGCTTTACTCTCCGTCTCCTCCCCTCCCGACTTTAATGGTAGCTATTTGGGAGATGTTATAGATAATCGGGAGTGTAGCCTGCGCGTCGCTGCCTTATGGCTCAAGGCACGCGCGCCCTATTTGCCCGGATACCTGACTTGGTATTCGCTAAGTGTTGGAAAGATCACTACATCGATCTTATCTTATCTTACTCATCCACACCCCATATCGTATTTCTTCGACATGGAATTGGATGCAATATGACCTATCAGAGTCATTTCAGACTGTGCATACATGTATGTATGTATGTGTGTATGCATGTTACTGAGGTATGTGTTATTTGTATGAATGTGTACGTACGTTTGTAAGTATGTATGTATGTATCAATGGATGTGTGCATGTGTGCATGTATGCATCCCCGATCGCCGGAGCACTAACCTCTGCCCAGCCGCCGACACACAAAGCATGAATGCATGTATGTCTACGTGTATGTATGTGTAGACGTTTAAAGTTGTTGTCTGTATGGTTGTGTGAATGTACGTAAGTGTATGTGTATATGTGTGTTCATGTATGTACGGATGTATGTATGTATACACGTACACATATATGCATGCATGCATGCATGTACGTGAGTACGTATGTTTGTATGCATCATGTTTATTTTTTATATATATATATATATATATATATATATGTATGTATTCATGTATGGATGCGCATATGTATGTATGTATGGATGTATGCGTGTCTGTACGTACGGATGGATATATGCCAACACATTGGTACGTATGGATGTTTGTATATCTGTATGTCTGATTGTATGGATGTATGGTTGTTCGTATACATGTACTTATGTTTGTATGTGAGTACATATGTATGCCTGTGTGCCTGTCTGTCTATCTGCCTGTGTGCCGGTTTTTATGTATGTAGCTATGTGTGTATAACTTTAGAAACGTATGGTATGTGCGCATCCTTGTCGGCGGGCCCCAAACTCTTTTGGTCCTCGGTGATGGGAGCTATCTACGCTACGGACGCGATGTGTAAACTTGTGTGTGCGCGCCTCGCGTGGCCACGCCTGTTCCGCGGTAGTGTGTAAGTAACCCTCTTGCACGCCGACTCGCTTTGTGTTGTCTTCCACCTCCAACCTCTGGTGGCAATTTAGGCGCCAGTTGGTATTCCTTGCGATCATTCGCAACGGTGCCGCTACTTCGCTGGAGGAGGACGAGGAGAAGTGTCTGTGTGTGCATGTTTTGTTTTGCGTCGGCCCTCCAGTATTTGTCTCGGCTGTATCATAAGGTCGCGAGGGGGCCGCCATCACCGTGGCCCGTACGGACACAGCCAGATACCCGTTTGCGGTGCGGCCTTGGCGGGGACTGGGGAACATCGCGCCGTGCCGCGGAAGAGAGCGCCCAATTTCTTGATCCATCCCCCCTTCTTTCTTCTGAGCCCACTATTCAACAACATTCTTAAAACGCCTTCTCAAACCACATTCTCGGTGACAGCAGTGTAGCCAACGGTGTCCCTGACCCGTGCAGGGGCGTGGTTCGGAGAAGGGGAGGCGCCCATCTCATGGCCCCAGGGAGAGAGGATGCACATCCCGCGGGCCGACAGGCGGGAAGGAGGATGACGAGGAGGAGGACGGGGGGAAGGATGAGGAAGGGGGAGGAGCAGGGAGGGCAGCCGAAGAATGATGAGGATTCGGCGAGCGAGGGGGGGGGAAGCGAGAAGGGGCGGGCCTTCTCAGAAGGCTCCGAAGCCCCCACGCCTTCTCAGAAATGTTATGAGCCTTTCCCGAAGAGACAGACAACTTCTCAGAAGGCGCGAGGGCTTCTGAGAAGTCCCGCCGCCTTCCGAGAAGGCATTATCCTTCTCATCTTCCCCCCCGCTCGCCGCCGACAGGAGGAGGGGGCGGAGGAGAGAAGGAGGGCCACACCTTGCAGGCTTCACGTCCTCGCCGCTGTGCTTCCGGCCGCCAGCGCTCAAGATGCCTGAGAGCCTTGTTCAGGACACGCCCTTCCTCCTCTTCCAGCCGGGTTGTCTAGGCCGATCGTTTTTTGGGATTAGTCGACGGCGGCCATCCACGGCGTTTTCCATGATTTCTCGGCCCCGGGGAGGCTTCTTCTCGTCGCCACGCCTGGATCATTTTCGAAGAACGGTGGTGGATAGACCTTGAGCTGGACCCGGGGACCGATTTTGAGTTGAGGCGGGCCAGGTGGTCGAGCCGCCGCTGTCTCCCCTGGCCTTCCGATGTGTGATGTGAGGCCACGGCCTCCACGCCGTGCCCTGATGGGCACGGACGGGCCCCCCAGCGGTGCACGAGTCGTTTGAGCACTATCCTTGCCGCCCGCAGCTTTGGCTGATCTAGCTCAAGGAGAGCACCGCTTGCGCTTGCGTCAAAGGGCCCGCGCGCGCATGGGTTACAGCTCACTGGACGTAGCCATGACATCTCGCAGTGTCGGCCCCACTGGGCTGCCCAAGTTGGGCTTGAACAACACAGACATGGGAAGCCAGTATGAAGGGAATTGCCATGAACAGATACCAGACAACTTGGAAAAGCGCTGCACGCGCGACTTTGGCGCTCGTCCCCTTCCACTTCATTCCCCCTCCTCTTGTCCTCGGGGCCCGCTGGCATTGACGATTGGTCCGCATGGACATCGCATGAGACCCATCCCCCTCTTCCCCAAATCCTCTCCCTACCCGCCCCCCCGCTTCCCCCCCATCCTCCTCTTCCCCAAAACGACGTCTCGCACGGTTGTTTTACAATCCGTTTGTCTCCAGTGTCTCACAATGGTCTTGCCGCTGCAGCGTGAGCTTCGTCATCGGATCGGCGCTTTGCCCCCGTCGTTCCGAATGACGTTATCGCACCAGCGCGGGCCACTTTCCTGGTCTCTTCTGCATCCGAGTCCTTCCTCACTGCTGCCGCACCTCTCCTTTCCTCTCCTCGGCATTCCCCTGGTCCTCCTGCTCCTCCTGCTCCTCCCCCTTCATCATCCTCATACTTTTCCTCCTGCTCTGCTCCACCATTCCGACTGCGCATACCACGATGAGGGCGTTGTGGGAGATCCAGGTCTGCTATAACACGTGTCCGCGGATATATATATATATATATATAGAGAGAGAGAGAGAGAGAGAGAGAAACAAAAAAAACATCACCGCAATGTGAAGGGATGGGCGGGAGGGGTAGGATGTCAGATCTGGCGCGAGCGCACTAGCTTGTCCCTCCCACCTCGCCTCCCAGAGGAGTCTTCGACATCCAGAGCGGAAGAATCATTGCTCCAGAGCCCACCATCCAGCATCCCAGTCGGAGAGCCAGCCAGCCAGCCAAGCAGGAAGGGGTGTTGGGAGCAGATTGAGGCTCGCCTCTGGAAGTCAATATTGACGGCTTCGCCATCTGGCCCTCGGCTCGTTTCTTTGTTTGACCCGTTTCCATCCTAACTATCTTTGTTATTATCATTCCCTCCTTCCATCATTCTCCTCAAGATGGCTGGTTGACGGGTTGGTTGATCGACTGGCAGTTGGGTGGACGGCATGTCGGTTTTGCAAGTACGGCTCCACATTCCACACCCTGGACGTCAAAAACGACCAGTCAGTAGGTCTTGGGACCTTCTGGGAGGATAGACGAGAGGGAGGAGGAACAGTCTTCTCCTTCCCAGCCATCCGACGTCGTGAATGTTGTTAATAGTGTGGGCTCGCGGGAGTCTCGATCCCTCCCCTCGGGGCCAATTTCACAGCCTGAGCTGCTTTTGACGCCCCTGGGGCCTTGTAATGGCCCCTGGAGCCCGCAAGTCACAAGAACGCAGTCGCTATTTTTCACGACCCCAGGAGGTGGGGGCCTCTCTCCCTTCCTCCTGTGTATGACCCATCTAGGGCCGCTCACGATACGATTCGATTCGAATCGCTGGCTGGGACCGCGATTCCGATTCGATTCGGCTCGACTCGTTGGCATTGGCCATGGCCAGCCAGGCGCGGCGATTCGGTTCTGCTTCGGTTCGGGACGACTCGCTGGCGACCCGATCGGTTTTCGGCCTGATCCGATTTCGCGATCCGATTCAGCTTAGAACTTTTTCCCTCCCCTCCTCGTCCCCAGGACGGCGGCCACCTGGCAGCACCGGGGCCCCTGCCGAAGACGCCCAGGAGCGACTTCTGCGGGATGCAGCCCCAAACGAACGTCCAGGAGCGGCGGAGTCCTCCGCCTCCCCACCAGCACCAGCAGCCGTGAGCGTCGTGACGAAGCATGCGACAACCAACCCGCACTCAGTAAGGATGGGCCACCTTCCCAAGGGTACAGTGCATCTTTCCCTCCTCGGCCCATCCTCGGCAACTGGCGCTGGCCGCGCCCCGCTCGAAAAGCTTCGAAACGGGCGTCCAAGGGCCTTGCATCCTGATCCAGGGCTGAGCCTAAACGGTGTTTTTGGTGATTCCGTGGGCCGTTTTCGTTTCGACTTCGTCTTGCGTTAAAGGCGGATTGGCGACAAAAGCGAGGGAAAACGAAAACAACACGAAAACGAAGAACAGCATTCAGGTTCAGCCTTGCATCCTTCTCGTGCGTCCTTGTGATACGGGTCGGCTGCAGTTCTCGGCGGCGCGCCCAGGGGTGAAGGCAGAGGGGGCGGGCCTCCTCAGAAGGTTCGGAAGCCGCCGGCGTCCACAACGGCCTTCTGAGTCGGGAGCCTTGAGACGGGAGCCCTGAGTCGGGACCCTTGAGACGGGTCTGCCAGAGCGCCGGATCGTGCAGGATCCTGCAGGGCCAGGGTCGCACTGACCCGGGTTTGGGTGCAGGATCCTGCGGGATCTTGCAGGACCCTTCGCATTGACCCGGGTTTGGGTGCAGGATCTTGCAGGATCCTGCAAGGCCTGACTGACCCGGGTCTGGATTGACCCGGGTCAGAAGATCCCCGACTGAGCCTTCGCCAAAGCCAACAGCAGGTTTGCTTCATGTCGACTAGCGGCGACCCCGACGCCGGCGTTCAGCGTTGAACGCCGCTGGCGACCCAGACTCGGTCGTTGCTGAACGATCCAGCGCGGGGTCCGAGGCCAGGGTCAGCCCGACGCAGGCCTGCCATGTGGCTTCTCAGAAGGCCAGATGGCTTCTCAGAAGCCCCGCCGCCTTACGAGAAGGTCTGCCCGCGTTTGCCCCCCAGAAGAGGGCGAGGAGGATCTGGATACTCTTGGTGGGTCTGGGGTTTTGTGGCTCAGCAGAGGTAGCTGGACTTCCTTCTGGGCGCCTGCCATTTTGGCTCGAGCACGGACGGGCATGAGCATTTTGAGATTTGTTGGAGGTTTTTGGAGGCCATCTCAAGCTTCCGTATTGTGCCTCTTATGGCTTTCCAGGTGCGTTGACCATCTCGCCCCCCCCCCCCTCAAACGCGATATTGGCCTTTGGGGAGGTGAAGCAGGGGGAAGGGACTGGTCAGCCGTCTCACGCGCAATGGGGTCGGCGGATTTGTGACCACACCAAAAGTTCTGCGCTGGAGTTGTGATTGCGTGGCCTTCCCATGGGCTACGGCCAATCACAGTCCCAAACCGATGGCCGCGGCCGTGCCTCTGAGCAGGCTGGTGTCCGTTTCAGTCTGCTCCGTTCGTCCTCGTCTCTTTTCGTCTTCACTCCGGGTTAGAGATGAGAAGCCGGTTGGCAAGGGTAGCCCCAGAGATCGTTCCAGCGTCGGTCCAGGATCCCCGCAGCGAGTTGTCCGAGCCAGCAGCGTGTCGCGAAAGGCTTCATATTGTTTCCCAATGCGTGTGCCGTCAAGGTTTCCAGAAGTTCCTTGCCAGGGCTGCCGGAGCTCCTCCGAAGGACCTTCGGGAAGCTTCTGTCGCGCCGCTGTCTTGGGATGCCACGAGCTCTCGGGATCATCCACTTCAACGGCCCCTTGTTTCACCCCATCCTCAGGGGCAGCGGTTGGGGGGACAGTCGAAGGGGGAAGCGCGTCGACCCTACTCTTCTATTGATCGCTGTCAGGGGCCCGATGGCCCACTCCACCCAGAGCCGCGCGGATTTGCTACCAGGGCCCCATCGCCAACATATCCGCGACGTAGCGCCGATTCTGGGGCGATGTTCCCCCCTTGAATCGGTTCACGCACGAACCGAAAGGTACCTTTTAACGTCGGCGGCTAGTCAGAGTAACTGCGCTGGCGGAGGGCTGCCTGAACGGGGGTACCGTTGTAGCGAACTGTGCCACCAGGCAGGAGGAGGGGAGGAAGCAGAGGGAACGGCCGACAGCGGGGGCGGGAGGGGAGCAAAGCCGATCAGGAGAACGGGTCACGCCCCGAGCGTGTGGCGCGGCCGGCCCCGCCCGCGGGCCCGCGGCGGTTGCTGCACCAGGGGGCCGGCGGCGGCGGGGCGCAGCGCAGGGGCTGGGACCATCCCAGAGGCTTAGCATCGCTCGGACGTGTGCATGTTTCCTTCGGCGAGGACCATCGAGGAGCATCCTTAATCATTTGGCGAAAACACGCACGAAACCGGAGAAAAACACAGGAAATGGACGTCCGAGCGATGGCCCCGAGGGGCCAGGGTGCAAAACCGGCAGTGCCCACGCCTGGTGGCCGCCCTTCCCCCGGGCGGGAGCGGGCGTGGTTGCCCGCAAGAATCTGGGGCGTCGGCGGCGGGCGGCAAGACCAAGCCCGGGGGCCGGGGCGGCGGCTGCGAGCAGCCGGCCAGCGCCATGGCGGCACGTGGAGGGAGGGAGAGCAAGCAGGAGGGGAGCAAGCGAACGGGGAGGAAGGCGCCCCGCCTGTGAGGCCCAGAGGCGGGGGAAACCGAAAGAGACACACCAGGAATGGGCCTCCGAGCGATGGCGAGGAAACTCCAGATGGTCATGCAGTGCATGCAGTCTTTGCTTCCCTTGCGCCCACCCACCCCCCGACCGTCCACCCCTCGGCCTTGCGCCGCTCCCGGGAGGCGGCCTCCCAACGTCTTTGCCGAGCGCCCGCGACACTGCAGCGGACAGATGTCCAGCGGAGAGAGGGCGAAAGGAAATCATTGCAGAGGAGTGATGGGTACCCGACCGAGGCATAAGATCGAGGTCGGTGCGGGAAGGGTACCCTGATGTTCTTCGTGCTTGTTGGATGTTCTTGTGTATCCTGGGGGAGGGTGCCCTCGGCTGTTCTGTATGTCTTGACCGGCGGAGGGTTTATCGTTCTTGCAGGACGTTTTTCTGTCTCAGGTCCGATTGTAATCCCTCCCTCCTTCGGACGGGGTTAGGACGAGGATAAATCCGTCCCAGAGCGTTCCGCAACGCTCTGAGAAGGCCGCGGCAACCGACATCCTCTAGAGCCGCGGGATCTCAGAGGTTCTCGATGTATCTCCACCCGAATTAATCCTCGTCCTGGCATCGTCTTAGTAAACCCTTCCTCCTCCCACCACCGCCCCCCCCCTCGCCGCGCCATCCCCCACCCACCCCGCCCGCCCGCCCCCCTCCCTTGCCCCAAACGCCACTCCATGCATCCCTTAACCAGAGCATGTCTTGACCAGAGCACTTTATCAACCAGAGCATTTATGAACTTCGTTTGGCGGTGATGAGTCGCGGGGAAGAAACCAAAAAGCGCCACTCCATGCGCAAGTGCCTCCCTCCCTCCCTCCTCGCTCCATCCCGCCGCAGCCCGACACCCCGACCAGCTTCAGGGTTGGTGGCCACAGGGGCCCGGCGCGCAAGGAGGTCCGTCGGGGGGGGAGCCGCAGAGAACTCGTCGGAGAGCGACCCTCCCTCACTCCTTCCGTCCGCTCTCCCGCCCGCTCTTCCACTACCTTTCAACCTCCAGGAGGAGGAGGATGAGGAGGAGGAGGAGGAGGAGGAGGAGGAGGAGGAGGAGGAGGGGGAGGGGGAGGGGGACAAGCTAGGTGCGCTCGCGTCATATCTGACATCCTACCCCTCCCTCCCATCCCTTACCATGGCGTAGATCCCCTCTCTACTCGCACAGTCGGATGTCGAGCAGGGCAATGATCCCGAAAGGGTACGCGATGCATTGTAGAGCACGGCATGGCATGGCGTAGAAGAGCACCGCAAAGCGTAGTATCAACCTAGCATTGCATTGCATGCCGTGGCATGGCACGGGAAATGACGCCAGCGCTGCAGCGGGAGCACGAGTCGAAACGAGCGGAAGCGCGGAAATGAGGCCAGCGCTGCAGCGGGAGCACGATTCGGAACGAGCGGAAGCACGGAAATGAGGCCAGCGCTGCAGCGGGAGCACAATTCGGAACGAGCGGGGCCCGAAAATGAGGCCGGCGCCTCAGCGAGAGCAGTATTTTGAAAACAAATGCGGGCGAAAACCCAACTCCGGAGAAACCTGTGTGTAAAAAAACCGTACGCGGGGGGGGGGTCGAGCACTTTCAAACCGTCATCAGGGGAAGAGGGAGAGTAGTATTCATATTGGGTAATTGTGGAGGAGGCGGGGTTAGGAGAGGAGGAGGAGGAGGATTAGGAGGAGGAGGAGGAGGAGGAGGAGGAGGAGGAGAGGAGGAGGAGAAGGAGGAGGAGGAGGAAGATGAGGAGGGGGAGGAGGAGGAAGAGGAGGAGGAGGAGGAGGAGGAGGAGGAGGAGGAGAAGGCGGAGGAGGAGGAAGAGAGGGGCGAGGAATTGGGGGATGATTGAGCGACCTATCGGCGATGCATCGCCGATTTCAGCTCGATGCCTCCCTCCTCAGATGCCCCCCCCCAAAAGTTTCCCCTCATGGCCAGACACCTTCAGTCGTGTTTTCGTTCCACGACGCGACTGTCTAGGTACTCACGTGGCTCAAGAGCCACCCCGCGTAATTATTTGTCCTCGTGTGCGTCCTCGCCAGAATCTCGAGGTGGATCCAGCCGTAGCGACGAAGAGCCTTCCAGAGGCCTGAAAAACGTTCAGAAGCCTCCATCTTCGAACCTCCATGCTCGAACCTCAATGCTCGAACTTCCATGCTCGAAGCTCGATCCTCCATCCTCGAACCTACATGCTCGAACCTCGATCCTCCATCCTTGAACCTCCATGCTCGAACCTGGAGAACGTTGGGAACCCCCCATCCTCGAACCTCCATGCTCGAACCTCGATCCTCAATGATTCCTCCCTCGCCCCGAGCTGCCGCCCCCCCACCTACAGCAGGAGATGGCCTCCAACCTGGCAGAGTGGCGCCAGCGCGCGAAGCAGGCCATGGAGGGCGCCGAGGACGGTGCCCAGACCTCCAACGTCTCGAGAAACTCGAGCCGGAGGTTTTCCACGGCTTTTCCCCCTCCGGGGAGGCCTCGCCAGACCCCAGGGCCGCCACAAAAGCAGCTCGGGACGAAGAGCCGGCCGCGGGAGCAAGGTCCAGGCCTCCGGGGAAGCCGTCTTGAGGAAATCATGATGTCGGATGTCTGGAGGGGGCGGCGGTCCGTTGTCGCCGTCGCCGCCGCCGCCGGCCGAGGAGGGTAAGGCTCCAGGCTGTGCACAGACATCTCCCCCCCCAGGTATGTACTAGGGGGCCTGTTCAGGCCATCAGGGGCCACCGGGGGGGGGGGCGGTCTGTGCACAGCCCGAAGCTTCACCAAGGAGGCGGAGGATGGAGGATTGTCGAGCATCGAGGTGTGGGGCCAAGATATTGCGAAGGCCTGACGGCCGGTGCCGCCGACCCTGAGGTTGGGGAGGAGGGCGCGGAGCATGGGAAGGAATATGAGGAGGGGGACAGGAGGAAGAGGTGGATGAGGAGGAGTAGCAGCACAGGAGGGAACTGAATAGGAGGAGAGTGAGGCGAGCAGGGTCGCATGTACAGGTGGGAAAGGGGGGCACGAAGGAAGGGCACGGGCGAGTAGAGTGTGGCGATCATGAGGAGGAGAAGGAGGAAGAAAATGGCGAGGATGTTGACGATGTTGACGACGACGCCGGTTGCCTAGCAGGACCATTCGGGGCGTCTTGGCGCCCTCCTGGGGCGACTTCCACGCTTCGTTCGCTATTTTGAAGCTAGGTTCGGCATCTTGGGCATCTGTCTGGGAGGCCAAGGAGTGTAGATTTGGAGGGCGCTGGGGCGGGGACCTGGGCCGGGGCCGGAGCGGGCCAGGAGCCAGGGCCAGGGCCGGGGCCGGGGCCAGGGCCAGAGCCGAGGCCGGGACTGGATTTGGTGCTGGAGCCAGGGCGGGAGCCGGGGCCAGCCGGGACCGGGGCCAGGGCCTGGGCGCTGGGGCTGGGACTCGGGCCAGGGCCGGGGTTGGGAGCGGCCGAGGCCGATCGGCCCCGGGGCTGGGCTTGGATTGGGGCCGGGGCCGGGGCTGTGGTCGGGCCGGGGCCGGAAACCGGCCGAACCGCCCGAGGGGGAAGCGTATCTGACTTGGGGCTTCCCCAGGGCCCCCCCCCCTTCCCTGGCGGGAAGGGATCGATAGGAAGGGGGCTTCCCTCGGCTGGGGCTGGAACCGGGACCAGAGCCGGAGCCGGGGCCTGGGGCGGGGTCAGGGCCGGAGCCCAGCCAGGGCCCTCGCCAGGGTGGGGGTTGGGGGCCAGGGCCGAACCGCCCGGTGGCGAAGCGCATCTGACGCGGGATTTCCCTGGGACCCCCCCCTCCCTGGCGGGAAGGGAAGGGAAGGGACTTCCCTCGACGTTTTTCTGGAATTTGGTGGAACCCCAGGATTCGCGGGTTTCCTGGGAGAGGCGTCGTTTCTGACTTGTCAGTCAGGGCAGTCTCAGAGAGAACAGAGAAGAACCGAACATCTTCTTCCACACGCCGACACAGGGTCGGCGGATTTCGATCGGATGGAGGGAAATCCTAGGATGGAATCGGGTGGGGGGGTGGGGAATGATGGAGGACGGTCGAAGATCGAGGGGAGCCGAAGACGTCCCGCAAAATTTGAAACGTCTTCGGCCCCTCTCCCCTGCGTCCGGGGGGCTCTGGGAAGCGGCGGACGTCGTCGTGGCACGTCGTTGTCGACGTGCTTGTCGTCGTCGTTTCCGTCGTGGTCTTCGTCAACGTGCTCGTCGTCGTGGTGCTCGTCGTCTGGCGGCGGCAGTCGAGGATAATCGAGGAGGATAGCGTGTCGAGGATCATCGTTGAGGATTGTGTGGTCGAGGACCTGTATCTCTGGGACGTCTTCCCCAGCTTCCAAGGGTTGAATTTGCGGTTTCAAAAGGTTTGCGATCGTTTTGGGGAGAACCCGTCCCTAGCGAACCGTGGGCTTTCAAACTCCAGACGCCTCCTTGGGACGCGAAGGACGTGGTGTCATGTGGTTGGCGGGGGCGTCATCGTCGTCGTGGCCAGCGGGGACGGCAGGACGTCGCCAGAAGGGCAGATGAGAAGGATAAGGACGAGGACGAGGAGGACAAAGGGCGAAGGGCGAATGACGAGGACGAGGACGAGGACGAAAACGACAGGTCAGGGGCATCGGGAACAAGGACTGCTTGCTGAGAAGTGCCCGGATGAGTCCAGTGAGTGCGACCTGGTGGTTTGATCCGTGCGAGAGCTGAGCCCCCGCCTTTCAAGAAAACGAGAAAAGAGCGCAAGAGCCTCAGGGCGCACACTCTTTGGGGAATGCATACAGTCAACTCTCACAGTAAGGACGGGCAACCCTCCCAAGGGTACCCTTGCATCCTTCCCTCCTCGCACCATCCTTGGCCACTTTCGTTGGCCGCGCCCCGCTCGAAAAGCTTCGAAATAGGCATCCAAGGCCCTTGCACCCTCATCGCGCATCAGATCCTTACTGCACGGGCTGAGTGTAGGCGCACCCGCTGTTGCCGACGACAGGTGCGGTGGAGATCGGCACCACCGTGCCCTCCGCTGGTCGGCTGGCGCCTTTCTGGCCATCCCGGGGCAGCTTGGAGGCCCTGTGGGGCCACCTTCGGGCCGCATGGGGGCATCGCGGGGTCCGCCCTCCAACCCCACTCCTTCCTCCCTCCTCCCTCCTCCCCCCTCCCCCCTCCCCCTCCCCCTCCTTCCTCCCTCCTCCCCCCTCCTGCTCCTCCCACAGCACATACATGCTGTCGTGGGAGGTAGGAGCTGAGCACAGCGCAGGTGTAGACTCGAGTGGATCGTTTCAGGTCACGCTCCAGATGCGCAATGTCGAGTCACATCCTATCCTATTCTTACTCCTCCACCCACTTCCTCCATCCCTTGCTCCCTCCCTCCTGCTCCCCGCTCCTTTCTCCTCAGCCCTCCCGTCCCTCCCTCCTCCCTCCTCTTCCCTCCTCCCTCTTCTTCCCTCCTCCCTCCCCGCCCTCCCCGCTCCTTTGTCTCTCCTCGGCGGGGTGCTGCCACCCAGCGCGGGGCCGCCATCCCGTGCGACACATCAGCAAACGCATAGCGCAACGGATAGTGTCCCCTTTGCTTGCCTCCGACGACACCGCCGTCCTCGCCGCCGCCGCGGCCGCCCTCGCCGGCGCCGGCGCCGCCTCAAAGCCCCCCCGCTCGCCAGGAGCCCGGCGGGAGGCGGCCCCCGCGGAGGGGCCCCATGGCGCAGGCGTCGTCCAGCGGGCCCTCCGAGGACCGCCCGGCGCCGCCGGCGTCAGGGCCAGAGCCACGGCGGCATTCGCGTCGGACGGCAGGGGTCGAAGAAGAAGGAACAACGGCACAGACTACAGACCTAAATTCTAGACGCTTCGCGCAACCCTACCAGCCTTCCAGAAACGATGCCAGGGTGAGTTGCCCTGATCAGGCGTGTGTGGGAGCACGCAGTGGACTAAAGACTGGGAAGCCGCCAAAGCTCAAGAGGGGGAGGATGGAGGAGGACCCGGAGAATACGGAGGGGGAGGGGGAGGGGGACAAGCTAGGACCGTGGCGCAGATCCCCTCTCTACTCGCACAGTCGGATGTCGAGCAGGGCAATGATCCCGAAAGGGTACGCGATGCATTGTAGAGCACGGCATGGCATGGCGGAGAAGAGCACCGCGAAGCGTAGTATCAACCTAGCATTGCATTGCATGCCGTGGCATGGCACGGGAAATGACGCCAGCGCTGCAGCGGGAGCACGACGAAACGAGCGGCGGCGCGGAAATGATGGCCAGCGCTGCAGCGGGGAGCACGATTCGGAACGAGCGGAAGCACGGCCGGGAGGCCAGCGTGCACGGGGAGCACAATTCGGAACGAGCAGGGCCCGAAAATGAGGCCGGCGCCTCAGCGAGAGCAGCATTTTTAAAAAAAATGCAAGCGAAAACCCAACTCCGGGGAAACCTGTGCGTAAAAACACAGTACGCAGGGGGGGGGTTCGAGCATTTTCAAACCGTCATCAGGGGAAGAGGGAGAGTAGTACTCATATTGAGTAGTTGTGGAGGGAAGAGGGAGAAGGGAGGAGGAAGGAGGAGGAGAAGAAGGCGGATGAGGAAGAGGAAGAGGATGAGGGCGAACAGAAAGATCGAAAGGCCATAGGCCTTTTGGATGCTTCTCGGAGTCTCTTCGGATGTCTTTTTGGATCTTCTTGTAGGCCTGTCGGGGCGTCTTGGGGGCCTCTTGGCGGTCCCAGGGGTGTCTTAAAGCTTCTTGGGTGCCTCGGGGGAGCCTCTTGGAGCATTGTTGGGGCCTTTTGGGAGCCTCTTGGGGATATTTTCGGGGCATCTTGGGGGCTCTTGGGGCCTCCTGAACTCCTCGCGGGGCCCTCTTGAGGCACCCTTGGGTGCCTCGGGGGCCATCTTGGGGCCATCTTGGATGAGACCAACCAAAGGGACCGTAGTAAATTCCGCCCCCCCTCCCCCCCAGGAGGCCAAAATGTGGCCACAAGTAAAAGCAATGATTTGGGCTTCCTCGCCGAGGCCATCGTGGACGCTCCAACCCCTCGCCTCCCCCCCCCGTTCAGGTCCAGTTGGAGCGGGTAGGGGGATTGGTCAAGACACCCTCCCAGCCCGCAAGCCGTCTCGCTCACTCCCACCCGCCCTCCCAACACATAAGTAGCGCCTTAGCAGCAGCATGTTCAGCGGTCGCCTTCGGATGGACAGCGAATGAGAACCAAAACAGATCCCATGTGCGGATTGCTGGGGCGAGGTGCGCCACGCGTGCCAGGCGCAACACGCGCGCCAGGTGCGCCAGTCACCCCTGTGGCCCAAGCGTGCCAGGCACGCTTGGTGCGCCAGATGCGCCACGTGATCCACGTGCGTAATGTGTGCCGCATGCTCCAGGCGCCAGGTGCGCCACGTTCGGGGCACGCGCAGAGTGTTCCAGGTGCGCCTGCGCACGTGGCACCACACATCGGGAAACGTGTTGGCCCCCACCTCTCTTGTCGAAAACGAGTGCGCAATCGCGGCGGGGTGGCCATCAGAGTGTGTGGTGGGCTTGCGCACAGCAGGCAATATTCAAACCACCGCCGTCCCAGTCAAAAACCACTGCGCAATGATCGCGGGGTGCTCGCGCAGGATCTATAGTTTGCCTCGAAGTGTGCTTTGCATTGTTACCAACCATCCTGTGGTGATGGGTCCTCGTTTTGCAGAGACAGCGCCCCGCGTTCCGCTCCTCCTCCTCCTCCTCCTCCTGCTGCTCCTCCTCCTCCTCCTCCTCCTCCCGCTCCTCCTCCTCCTCCTCCTCCTCCTCCTCCTCCTCCCTCCATCATCATCACCACCATCAGCACCCTCATCATCATCATGCTCAGGTAGGTGCGGTGTGCGTCTCAGTCGTGATCCATTCCGCTTCCTGCGTCACGGTCGTGATGCGCTGTCTCTGCGTCGCATCCGTGGTGCGCTCCTTGTTCCGCTTCTCTGTTGTCTTCCGTCTCTTGCTTTTCCTCCCGTTTTCTCTCTCTCTCTCTCTCTTTCTCTCTATCTGTCTATCTCTCTCTCGCTCTTGCTCTCTATCTCTCTCTCTCTCTCTCTCTCTCTCTCCCTCTCCTTCCCTGCCTGCCATGCGCTCGAAGGGTGGACCCCCTGGATTGCCCGGTCTCTGCGCGTGGCCGAAGGTCTTCGCCGTTGCGCCTCGAGCACCTGGCTACCACCACACATAGTTCGGCGGCAAGCGAGGGGGGGAATGGAGAAGGAGAAGGCCTTCTCAGAAGGCGGCGGGACTTTTCAGAAGCCCTCGCGCCTTCCGAGAAGTCTTTTCTGTCTTCGGGGAAGGCTTAGAAAATTTCTCAGAACGCCGGGGGCCTTCCGAGCCTTCTGAGAAGGCACGCCCCTTCTCACTTCCCCCCCTGGCTCGCCGCCTAATAGTGCGTCTCCTGCCCTTCAAGTTCTAATATCTTTTATTTTCCAATCGCGGCCTGTAGTGAAGGCTTCGTGCAGTGGAGCATTCGATCATCTTCACCTTCGTCATCATCAGCAGCATCGTCAGCAGCAGCATCAGCATCATCACCATGCTCCCATCGTGCTATCATCTTCCTCCACGCGTCGCCCCATCAATTTCGGCACACCCCTCGCACGCTGCGTGGCCCCACAGGGCGCGGCAGTGTCGGTGGATGTTGACAAGATCGTTTTGATGCTTGTGAGCAATGTCGTTGTAGGCAGCGAGTGCTCGGTCGGCACAGCCACACAGTGTGCGGCGATGAAAGGTTCCCTGTCGATTGAGGTTGATGTCCTGTCGGTCGGAGGTAGTCTTTGGGCGGCCCTTGCCTGGTGGCTTGGGCTGCGGTGGTGCAAAGAACGCACCGCGAGGACCTTTCGGAGCCGTGGCGCGCGCGCGCGGAAGGAAGGGGATTTGACACGCATCGGTCCCGTATGATTGATTCGGCTAGAGTCCCACTGGGCTGGGGGGCGCAGGAGGTTCGCGGCTGCGCCCTGAGTACAAGTGCTTCCGGCCCGAGGCTAGGGAGAGCCCCAGGGAGCGAGGAGAGGGAAAACACAACAGCGAGGGAGAGGAGTCGGAGGAGGAGGGGGAGAGAGGAGGAGGGAGAAGCCGTCGTAACGAGCCGAGGCAGCGAAGACATGGAGGAATGCGGGTGTGCTGGAGACGGGCATATACCGCTTCCACACGCATTCGCTGCATCCCGTTGCCAAAAGCAGGCAGCGATTGCCTCACGTTTCGCCCCGATCCGTGAAGATGGCTCCTCCTCCTCCTCCTCCTCCTCCTCCTCCTCCTCCTCCTCCTCCTCCTCCTCCTCCTCCTCCTCCTCCCCACGGATCAGCATTCCACGGCAGCGCGTGCAGTGGGGTCGTGTCGTGTCGACGCGGTTGCGGCCCCAGCGCGGGAGCTCAGGGCTGAGCGCCGCCAGCGGCCCAGGATCGGCCAACGTGCAACGACATGACGATCGAACAGCCGCCGATGCTCGAGGCGAAGAGCTCCGTGCGGCGTCTCGGCGGCGAGCCCAGAGGGGAGCCGAGGGGCAGGCCTTCTCGGAAGGTGGCGGGGCTCGTCAGGAGCCCTCGCGCCTCCTTTTGCAGGCCCTCTCCGAAGGGAAGGCGCGAGGGCCTTGAGAAGCCCCGATGCCTCCTGAGAAGGCCTGCCCCCCCTCGCTTCTCGCGCCCCCCCGGGCTCGCCGCCGAGAGCCGGAGGCCCACGCGCCAGCAGGCCGCGGCACGAGCCCGCCGTGCCCCCGGGGCGCGGGGGAGGTCCGTCCGCCGCCCGCGCTCGCGGAGGAGGAGAGGCGGCAGCGGGCGGAGCACCTGCGCCAGCAGCGGGACGCCCTGATCGCGAAGCGGAACGCCGACCGGGAGCAGAAGGCCGCCCTCGCCCCCTCGGCTCCCTCCCTCCCTTCCTCCCTCCCTCCCCTCTTCGCATCCTCCTTGTCCTCCTCTCCCTTCTCGCCTCCCTCCTCTTCTACAATTACACAATATGAAAATACTCTCCCACTTCCCCTGATGGCGTCCGGAAGATATTCGGCACCCCCCCGCGTACTGTTTTTTTACACACAGGATTCCCCGGAGTTGGGTTTTCGCTTGTGTTTTTTTTCTAAAATGCTGCTCTCGCTGAGGCGCCGGCCTCATTTCTGCTCCCGAATCGTTCCGAATCGTGCTCCCGCTCCAGCGTGGGCCTCATTTTCGGATCGGTGTTTGGCCTCCGTCGTTGAGGATGGCGTCCTCGCCCCAGCGCGGGCCTCTTTCTCGCGCGCCATCCGCCCGCCACCACCGCGCCGCACCACCACCACCACCACCACCACCACCACCACCACCACCACCACCACCACCACCACCACAGCACCAGCACCAGCACCAGCACCAGCACCAACACCACCACCAGCACCAGCAGCACCACCACCACCACCACCACCACCACCACCACCACAACCACGCACACACGCACGCACGCACGCACGCGCACCACCACCCACTACGCACGCGCGCGCGGAGCCACAGGTCCGCTACGACACGCGTCCGCGGATAGAGAATCAGCGCCATGGTAAGGGATGGGAGGAAAGGGTAGGACGTCAGATATGACGCGAGCGCACCTAGCTTGTCCTCCTCCCCCTCCGGACTGCCTCCTCCTCCGAGTTTTCATCCTGGCCTTCGATATTTGGACGGCTCTCATCGTTCAAGCTCACCTCGGGACCTGGGACAGCCGATCCCGATGGGGATTGCACACCGAGGAGGCGGATCGGCGGAACCTCGGCTGGAGCCACCGCGCCACGGGCGCCCCCCGGACGTGCGGGCCCCTACTCCGGAGCACGGCCAGCCACGCGTCGTCCCGCGACCATCAAACCGCGCCCTGGGCCTCCGGGGGCCTACGCACGGCGCCGAGCCTTCACGTCGTGATCCCTCGCGGCGCGAGCATACGGTGTCGGCCCGGATCAGTATAGGTCGCCACTGCCAAGCCAAGGGTCCCCTGTTCAGCCACGCGCAGAGGGGTGTGGGGGGAGGGGTGAGGGCTCTAGAAGCACCCCTGCTTCTCAGAAGGAGCGGGCCGGATCTGCAGATGCAAGGCCGGCGCCTTCTGAGAAGCGGCCTCCTCTAAGAGGCTTTCTCCCCTCCCTCCACCCCCTTGTGCGCGCCGCCAACCTGTGTCCTGTGTCTCGCGACCCGTGCCTCCTGCATTCCTGTGGCAGTGCGGGCCGCGGAAGGGTCCCGTGTCCTCTCGCGTGTCCTGTCCAGCGAAGCCCGGCTGCACCTGGGAAGGACCCCTCGCGGCCAGCCCCCCGCCAGATCGACGAGCTGCCCGCGCGGCGGGGCCGCCACGCCGCCGACATGACCTTCGCCACGGCCGAGGAGCGGCGGGCGGCGGGCAGGCGCTGCCGCCGCGCCGCGCCCACGCCCCGCGCAGGGGGGGGGCAGCCCCCTCGGGCGGCCACGGGGCCGCCCGCGGGCGCCCCTCTGCGCCGTGAAGACGTTCTTGTTCGGAGTCGGCTGGGGGCCTGAAGGGGCCCAGCCTTGGCTCCTGCGAGCAGAAGGGGGGGGGAGGGCGGGGTTCGAGATCCCGGGCGCGATCTCTTGTCTTCTGCTGCTGAAGACGGCCTCCCGGTGCCGTTTTCGGGCCCGGGGGCCGTCGAAGACGGATCCGGGATGAGAGGCTACACGAGATGGACCCTGGGAGGGGTCCGTGGACCGACTTATCCCCCCTTCTTGGCAGATTTTCTGGTGATCTTCTTCCACTCGCCCCCTGGCCGCTTTCAATTCCCAGACGCCCTCGCGCCGTGAAGCATCCTCGTCCGAGACACCCCCATTTGATTATGGATACGAATTTATATGTACAGGTATAGGTATAGGTAAAGGTCGGAGGTTGGGGGGTGAGTCCGACGTGAAACGGAGACCCCCCCCTACCGGGAAATCGATTTCGGTTTCGGGTTCGTGTCGTGCGTGCCGTGCGCGCGTGCGGGCGAGGCGAAGCTGCGTGGGCGGGCGAGAGGAAATCCTCCTGTGGCTGGGCCGCGGCCGGACCAAATGATTCTCCTCCGGCGGCCGGTGGCTCGCGGTGTCCCGCTGGTGTCCCGCTGGTGTCCCGAAATCCTCTTGTGGCTGGGCCGCGGCCGGACCACATGATTCTCCTCCGGCGGCCGGTGGCGCGCGGTGTCCTGCAGGTGTCCCGTGGTGTAAACAGTGAGATCGATAGGGAGATCGACAGGTGTCCCGTGGTGTCCTGTGCTGTCCCGTTGAGTGAGATCGATAGTGAGATCGATATGGATGGATCGATGTGGTGTCCCGAGGTGTCCCGTAGTGTCCCGTGGTGTCCTATGGTGTCCCGTTGAGTGAGATCTATAGTGAGATCGATAGTGAGACAGATAGTGAGATCGAGAGGTGTCCTGCAGTGTCCCGTGGTGGCCCGTGGTGGCCCGTGGTGTCCCGTTGAGTGAGATCGATAATGAGATCGACAAGTGAGATGGACAAGTGTCCCATGGTGTCCCGTTGAGTGAGATCGATGGTGAGATCGATAGTGAGATCGATGGTGAGATCGATACTGAGATCGATGTGGTGCCCCGAGTTTTCCCGTGGTGTCCCGTGGTGTCCCGTTGAGTGAGATCGATAGTGAGATCGACAGGTGTCCCGTGGTGTCTCGTAGTGTCCCGTGGTGTCCCGTTGAGTGAGATCGATATTGAGATCGAAGTGGTGCCCTGTGGTGTCCCGTGGTGTCCCAAAACGTGAGATCGATGTGGTGCCCTGAGGTTTCCCGTGGTGTCCCGTGGTGTCCCCAAAAATGAGATCGATAGTGAGAGCTATAGTGAGATTGATGTGGTGTCTCGAGGTGTCCCTTGGTGTCCTATGGTGTCCCGTTGAGTGAGATCGATAGTGAGATCGATAGTGAGACCGATAGTGAGATCGACAGGTGTCCCGTGGTGTCCCGTGGTGGCCCGTGGTGTCCCGTTGAGTGAGATCGATAATGAGATCGACAAGTGTCCTGTGGTGTCCCGTTGAGTGAGATCGATAGTGAGCTCGATTGAGTCAGATGTTGGTTCCCCCCCACTCCCCCACAACCTCCTTATCACTCGAAGGGTGGTCGTATAGGTCTAGGTCACCCCAGGAAGTGATCTAAAACACCCCCCCTTTTCGGCAGAATGATAAACATTTTCGCACTGGGAAGCGTTATCCCGGCACCCGGGATGAAGATGAGGAGGAGGAGGAGGAGGAGGAGGAGGAGGAGGAGGAGGAGGAGGAGGAGGAGGAGGAGGAGGAGGAGGAGGGAGGAGGAGCTTGAGCGTCGGGAGTCGATGTTTTTCCGGCCCTGGCAGCCCGGCCGCGCCGTCCCTGCTCGTTCCATTTTTGCTCCCCGCAGTTCCCCCTCGCCAAAAACCTTCGGGGGTGGCCGAAGTCGACCCCCCCAGCGCCTTGCTCCCCCCTTCGGTGCCATGGAATGGACGACCGTCCAGCGCCGCGGCAGGCGCTGAGGCGGTCGCCCGCAGCAGGAGCTCGCACAACAGCTCCTCGCGAGCTTCTTCGGCGCTTTTGAGGCTGCCGCCCACCGCCGGAGCGCCGCGCGGAGCGGCGCTGCGCGTGCGGCACGCGCCGCCTGCGCTGGGGCGAAGGCGAGCTCCCGCCCCCGCCGCCGGCTGCCCCTGCGGGCGACGCCGGCGCAGCCAGGCCGGCTCTGCCAGGCGCCCGGGGCCCCCGCCCAGTGGGCCAGGCGGAAGCTTTCCGCAAGGTGGCCGCCGCCGCGCGGCGCGCTGGAGCTCCGGCCGAGGCCGTCGAGCCATTCCTCGCGGAGGAGCGGGCCGCCCGACAGCGGCAGCAAGAGCGCCGCGCCGGCAACCGCCTCGGCAATTTGAGGGCGGCGGCGGAGCGGGCAGCGGCTGCGGGGGCGTCAGCGGAAGAGGCGCTCGAGGCCGCGCGGCGACGTCTGGAGGTCGCGCGCGCCAAGGATCCGGTTTCCGAGGCTGCCGCCCGCGCAGAGGAAGATGCCTAGGAAGCACAACAGGACTGCGCAGCTGGCCACCCGCGCGCTCCTCGAGCTCCTGGCAAGAGGAGCGCGCGCTTGGGACGGGGCGCCAGAGCCGGTGCCAGCGGCGATGGCAGCAGCGCGGGCGGCTGTCGCCGCCGCGGAGCCGACCCCCGAGCCACCCGGACAGGACGCTCCGCTCGGGGGCGGCGGGGGCCCTCGGCAGGACTGGGCCGACGCAGACGACGACGCAGAAGCTGCCGCCTACCAGGATGGCGAGACGTCCGCGGACGAGCTCATGGACCAGCTGGACAGGACAGAGGAGGACGACGATGCCGGGCTCCTGCTGGTTGCCCGCCGCCTACGCGGCGTCCGCTGGGAGGCGGCTGCCGCCGCCGCGCTGGCGCCTGGCCTGGGAGCCCGCCGCCGCAGCCGCAGCCGGGCGGAGGCCCGCTGATGCGGGTTTGCGGCTACGCCGGCGCGCGGTTCGGCGAGGCTAGCCACCCCGGGCCGGCGACGGGGGCGACGCTGACTTGCCCAGGCTGCCAAGAGCCGCTGCGCGCAGTGCGGGGCCTGCGCCGCGAGGCCTGCGCTTGCTGCCTGCGGGGGCGGGGGAGGGCCCAGGGGCTGGCTGCACCACTGCGGAGCCTGCGACAAACTGCTTTGCTGGGCCTGCGCTGAGGCCGTCGCCGCGGCCGCTGCCGGCGCCGCTCCTGCCGCCGCTGGCGCCGCCCCCGCGGCCGCTGGCCCTGCGGCGCCGGGCCTGGCCGCGCTGGGGCCTCCGCCCCCGCCCCCGACGCCGCCCCTCCGAGACCTGGGGGCCGCTTGAGGGGTGGGCGGGTTCGATTTGATCTGAGAGTCCATGATCGATTGCCCCACGCTCCGCTACGCGGGGCTCGGGCCGCAGCGGCGCAGACCATGGCGGAGATCTGCCGCGCCGTGCTCCGGGCGGCGCCTGGCGGCAGGGAGGAGGAACAGGCTTGGAAGCTATTCTTACTCCGCGAGCGGCTGCTCTTCGCGGCCCCGCTGCGCGCTCGGGGCGGCCGGCAGCGGGGGCGGCCGGACAGCTGCGAGCAGGACAGAGAGCAGCTGGTCCGCGAACGCTGGCCCAAGCTCTACAGGGGGGCCCGGGAGGAGCCCCCGCAAGAGATTATGGAATCCCCCTTGCAACTTCGCACGCCACCAGATTCACGCGGGGCGGGCGCCTCCAGCGCCGTCGGCGCCGCCGGCGCTGCTGGCGACGCCGGCGTCACCTGGGCCGCCGCTGCCGCGAGCGCCGCTGGCGCCGCGGGTGCCGCGAGCGCTGCGGGCGCCGCGGGCGCCGCCATTGCCGCGTCCGATTGCCGCGCTGCCCGGGATGCGGCCGACGCTGCGGCGGCCGCCTGCACCGGGGCCCGGGCCGCCGCGCTGGCCAATCGGGCGGCCCGCGCGCACGACGGACTACAGCAGCGCGTCCATGGGCAGCATGACGGGCTCCAGCAGCACGCCCGCGTGCAGCAGGATGAACTCTAGCGGCACCATCGTGATCTGCATGACGTGCGCCAGCAGCACCATTGCGAGCAGTTCGACGGACTCCAGCACCGCGACGGACTCCAACAGCACCCTCGCCAGCAGCATTGCGGAAACCAGCAGCACGATCTGCAGCAGCATGGTGGGCTTCGGTCGGGGCTCGATATCAAGTGTAGGCTCCCGATTCAGCAGCGTCAGCATGAGCAGCTTTGCGTGCAGGACGACGTCGACCAGGAGGTGGAGGAGGATGTGCGGCATGAGGCGGAGGAGGAACAGGCGGGGCGGAGGTTGAGGAAGGGGGTCGCGCAAAACCTCGAGGGCGGGCGCGGCGGTGGCGACGGAGGAGAAGGCGGGCATGGCGTTCGCGGCCGCGGCGGCGGGGGCACAGGCAGAGGCGGCGGAGGCATAATTAGGTGGCGGTGGCAGCGGCATCGTGGTGGTGGAGGTGGACGTCGAGGAGATGACGGATGAGGAGGTGGGGGCTGCGCCTGCACAGCCCTCGTCACCACGGCTGGACTCGCGGGGAGTCGGAGACCCTGTTCCTTGACCCGAACCTGCTACACATGACAACGTGCCTAGACAGGGAGCTGAACAAAACCCAGACAGCGGGCTGACCTGGCGGAGCGACAGCACCCAGTCGGCCAATGGGACCGACGGCCGATTTGCGACGCCGCGTGCCCAGCAAAACCTAGACGACGACCCAGAGACCAGAGCACGAGGACCACGGAGGAGGTGGAGGAGCAGCAGGAGGGGCAGCAGGAGGAGAGGATGAAAAACATGACTGCGGAGGGAGGATCGAGGCAACGCCCCGCGCCGTCTGGGCGACCGCTGCGGCCGCCGCGCCCTCCGATCGATGCCGGCGGGGCCCGCAGAGCTGCCGCGAGCTGCCGCCAATGTTCGGGCCGGGGCTTCCTGGGATTACGAGCGCCACTTCCAGGGTTGGGGCTTTCCCTTTCCAGGGTTCGGGTTTGCGTTTCTCGCTCTGCGTTGTCCGGCGTGCCGTCCAAATCCCCGGGTTGCGACGCTGACCGCCGGCAGGGGGGCCCACGACCCAACAAATCCGCGCGGATCTCCGAAGGTGCACGTTTCTTCCAGCTTCGTTCCTCGTGAAGAGACGGACCACGACGATGCTCACGACGACGACGACGACGACGACGACGACGACGACGACGACGACGACGACGACGACGCCGCCGCCGCCGCCGCCGACGCCGACGCCGACGCCGACGCCGACGCCGACGCCGACGCCGACGTCGACGCCGACGCCGACGCCGACGCCGACGCCGACGTCGACGCCGACGCCGACGCCGACGCCGACGCCGACGCCGACGCCGACGCCGACGACGACGACGACGACGACGACGACGCCGACGCCGACGCCGTGCGCGCCGCCAAAGCGGGAAGCTGCCGCCACCGGCCGCGGGGCCCCAGGCGGCTGATTGCCGAGCTGACGCCCAGAGCGGCCGCGGGCCCGGGCCGCCCTCGTGGCCGTCTCCGTCGGAGGATGGCCGGTTGAGAGTGGTGCGGTTCACTTGTCATGTTCAGTTTGTCCCAGGCGTCCTGGGGGCACGGTTGCATCCGCCCCGGAAAACACATGTAGCTGGACCCCGGGGCCCCGGGGCGGATTTGGCCAGGGCCGCATCATCGCCGGCGCAGTCGCTGACGCCGCGGCCCCAGATTTCCGAAGATTTGAGCTGTTTCCATATGGGCGTTTCTTCCTTGATTTCGGCCACCCGGGCCCGTCATTTGGCCCCGGGTCGTCTATCAAGGTATTTGGGCCGTCTTGGGGAATCCCGGGACCTCTGAGACTTTGCCTCCCTTGCCATGCACGGGCCCGTTCGCGCCCAGATTGTGCGGATGATGATCTCTCCAGAGCCCCATGACCATCTTGATGGCAGTTGGCACCTCCAGGGGGAGTTGGATGAGGGTGTGCCACGGGCCCGTTCGCGTCCAGATACCTGCTCCCGCTGACGTACCCGGGGATCCGACGTTGCACAAAAAAAATCGCACGAGATCTTGACCAGAGCCCCAGACACCATCTTTTTGCATCATTGTTCGAGCCGGATCGATATGTGAGGGTCCCGCCTGAAACTGATCTAAAACGCCTGTCTCGAAAAATTGAGTCGCGAGGATCTCAGGGTCATTGGAATGCTTGCTTGAGCACCCAAATGTATGTTCCATGTCCCCGTTCCATGACCATCGCGGTCTAGCAGGCCTAGCACGTTCGTGCCCAGATGCGTGTTTTCATTATCAGGTAGAACGCTTGTTTTAGCACCCAAGCTATGTCTCCTTCAAGCGCCCCATGATGCCATGTAGCAGGCATAGCATTTAGGCACCCAAAGGGGGAGTCGACCAGGGATGAGTCACGGGCACGTTTGCGTCCGGATTCGTGCTCACTATCACGTAGAGCGCTGGTTTGGGCACCCAAGCTTTCTTCGCGTTCCAGGGCTCCATGAGCATCGCGATGTCGAAACCAGTTCCCCTAGCCAGCCCAACCAGCCAGCCCAACCAACCCAATCAACCCAACCCAACCCAACCCACCGACCAACCAACCCGCCAACAACCCTACCAGCCACCTCGGCACCCAGCCAACCCGCCAACCCCTTGCCTTCTGTCACCACTGGGGGACGGGAGGTGTTTCTTACAGACGCAAGCGGAACAAATCCCCCTACCCGTGCCCAGCGAGATTGCGGGAGGAGGCCAAATCGCACAGCAACGTGGAGGCTGGGCTTCCCGCCGAGGAGCGCCCGAGACGGTATGGGTCTAAAGCGCGATGTCGGCACTTATTTTTGAACTTTCCGCCGAGTCTGCGTTCTCCACGCAAGAGAGTTCCCATCCTCAAAACTGTCGTCATGTTTCAGGCCCCAGCGTGCCGCTACTTACAGAGCACGGCGGGACGACCAGGGAAGGCGAAACCGCATAGCAACGTGCAGGACCGCCCCTGGGCCGTTGAGAAAAAAAACAGCGCGCATCCTTGCAACTGCCTGCATTTCTGAGACCCCGCGTGAGGCTTCGTTGAGGGCCCGTCGAGGCTGCCAGGAGAGACCGCATCGCACAGCAATGTGAAGGACCGCCCTCGGGCCTGTCTGACGAAGAAGTGCCCTTCTCGAGCCTTCACTTCTGAAGCCCCTCGTGAGGCTCCCTCGCGGGCCCGGCGGGGCGACCAGGGGACCCCGCAGCTCTCGCTCTCCAGGACCCGCGCCGGCGACTGCTCAGAGGGTCTGGTGGGGCGGCCAGGGGAGGCCAGATCCCTGGCATCGCTTGGCCGTGTGCATTTTTTCTCGGCGAGGACCATCGAGGAGCATCCTTAATCATTTGGCGAAGAAACCACGCACGAAACCGAACAAAAACACAGGACATGGACGTCCGAGCGATGGCCATGCGGCGGACTGCCCCCACGGGCCAGGCGCCCTCGGGACACGCCAGCGGCAGCTCGGCGTGCTCTTCGAGCCGCCAGTCTGGGGATTCCTCCGGCGGCCTGTTTGGCCTTCGGGGCTTTTCGGGGGGCTGGCAGCAGCAGCTCCCGCGGCCTCCGCGGCGAAGAGGAAGAGGAGGACGTGGGCCAGGACAGGGGAGGAGGTGGGGCGGCAAGCGGACGACGGAGGAGGAGGAGGAGGGGGAGTACGAGGAGGAGGAGGAGGAGGAGGAGGAGGAGGAGGAGGAGGAGGAGGAGGAGGAGGAGGAGGAGGGGAAACAGGAGGCGGAGTGGGAGGGGCGGGAGGAAGAGTCGGGAGGCGAGGAGGGTCAGGAGGAGCGGGAGCAGAGGAGCAGATAGGAGCAGGAGGAAAGCAGGAGAAGAGGGAGGTGGACGACCACCACCAATGGGAAGGCAGAGGACCAGAGCGAAGGGCAGGAAACGCCAGAGCAGGGAGGACGCTCCAGTGAGTAAGCTTGAGTAAACCGGTTTCTGCCCCCGTGAGGGGCGTTGCAGGGTAGCAGGCAGCAGAAATAGTACTTGAGCGTTCCACGGGGGAGTCGACCACGGATGCCGCGTGCCCGTTCGCGCCCTGAGTTCTGTTCGCTCTCAAGCAGGATTTCTGTTCCGACCCCCTCGGACTCCTCCCCTTGCAGGGCTCCATGACCATCACCATGGAGCAGGCCTCGCATTCGGGCCTCCAAGGGGAAGCCGACAAGAGGTGATTGACGGGCCCCTTCGCGTCAAGATTTGTGTTCCCTCTCAGGTAGCTCGTTTGTTTGGGCACCCCAGCATCCTGTCCGAACAGAGTCCTATGATCATCGCTATGCAGCAGGCCTAACACTTGGGCTCCCTAAAATGGAGTCGACCAGAGATGCATCACAGGCCTCACGGCCAACCCATACCCAGACTGGCTCACAGTTATATCGACTCGTATTCGGTCGCCCAGCCTCGCTCACGCTCAGAAACTCATACGCAGGGAACTCGTCAGAAAAGAGATGCGCAACTGGGGGTCCCCGCGTCGAATGCTTCTAAGGACGGCGCGTTCTTTCACTACGACTGTTCCCGCTCCTAGTCCAAGAGGCGATTCCACCTTCGATCGGACGGTTTGGATCAGGCAGTCTGACTCTGGTTCCTGCGTGCTCGTTCTCGAAACCACACAAAACACTGATTTCGACCCATGATTGATTTGATTTTGCCCATATTGAGAGTTACATGCTGTCATCCCGGAGCCCACCCGCTGCACACATGTATGTGCTCCGTGCGCGATTGTGTTGTGTGCTGTGTTTTTGATTTGACCGCAGTCTGGCCCAGCCGTGCTGTTCTTCCCGCGGGCCTTGGGCAGCCTCTAGGGCCGCCTCTTGGAGAGGCTTCTCGCGGGCCTCTTGGGTCTCCTGGGGCCTCCGGGGGGCCTCGGGAAGCAGCTGCAGACTACGGCGGCGGCAGCGGCGACGACGCCGACGACGCCGATGACGTCGACGACCACCTCGGGAAGAAGCTGCAGACTGCGGCGGCGGCGGCGGCCGCGGCAGCGGCGCCGACGCCGACGACGCCGATGACGTGGACGACCACGACGACGCCGCCGCCGACGACCCAGACATCTGGCGAGCTGAGTTTTGCCACGCTCGGGCGGGTGGTGATGGCTGGTGCCCAGAAGGGGCCCTAAAGGGCCCCTTTAGGCCTTTTTTCTTCATCCCGATTTGGGCCACCCACCATTCGCACCCGCCCGACATGCGCGGCCCCAGGGGTCCCGACCCTTCCCGTCCACGGGCAAATGTTTGAGGAGCCCGAGGCCCGAAAAAAGGCCCCCGAGGGCCGAAATCTCGGTGCTCAAGAGACGGGCGTCCATGCAGGCGGGGGTCCGTCGGAGCGCCGGATCTTGCAGGATCCTGCAGAGCCAGAGGCGCACTGACCCGGGCGGTGTAGTTTTGTTTCGTCCGCTTTTGTTTCGTCCGCTTCTGTTTTGTCCCCTTCTGTTTCGTCCGCTTTTGTTTCGTCCGCTTTTGTTTCGTCAGTATTTTGTTACGTCCGCTTTTATTACGTCCGCTTTCGTTTCGCCCGCTTCCGCTTCGTCCGCTTTTGCTTCGTGCGTTTTTGTTTCGTCCGCTTCGGTTTCGTCCGCCCTTGCTTTGCGTGATTCGCGTGGAAGTGGGGCGGATAATAACGGGTTGAATTCAAACCGGGCGAATTAAAACAGGATGAATTTATATTGGGCGAATCAAAACCGAGTGAATTTAAACGGGCGACTTAAACTTGGAGGTATTGTGATGGCCTCCGGCCAGTGCCGCCGATCCGGGGGGGCTCCGGATTCGGTGATCTTGGAGTCGTCGGGGACGCTGGTTGGGAGGGAGGGGCGCTCTCGGAGTCGTCAGGGACGCTTTTTGGAGCTGGCGTGCCCTCTGGCGGGTGCCTGAAGCGGTCCCGGGGGGGGTCCGGGGAGGGTTCCGAGGGGAGGGTTCTGGGGGCGGCAGCGGTGAGGAGGGTCCCTGGGACCGCTGCCTCCACCGGGCTGGCCCCTTCCGCTGCCCCAGGCGGGGTGGGCCACGCCGCGAGCGAGGCAGGGGGCCGCGGCGCGCCCGGCGCAGCCGCCGCCGAAGGCGCTGGCGCGATTGGCGCTGCCAATCCCTGTCAGCCCCACTGAATCACCAAATCGCAGGCCTAGAGGTTGACACCAACACCAAGATCGGCGGCGTTCCTCCACCGAGGGAAGACGATCCCGATCTCGGTGATGGTGGTAATATTTTGGCTTCCAAGGTGGCCGAAATGTTACCACCAACACCAAAATCTAGGACCACCTCCCCCCTGTGGAGGCAGCCCTCTGTCTTGGTGTTGGTGCCCATTTCCAGGCCTCCCACCAAAGCCAGGCGCGAGTATCTCGGTAGGATCGATCGCGACGTGTTTCCCAAGTGCTGAGCTCAGCCTGGTTATCACTACGTGATGGCGGAAATCCTAGAAATCCTCCTCCTCCTCCTCCTCCTCAATCTCCTGCGCCGCCAGCATCTGGGCGTTGAGGGCGTTGTGGATGACGGCCATCTGCGCCGTGAGCTGCTGCTGCTGCTCCGCGAGGTCGAAGGTGGTGGCTTGCAGCGCTGCCGAGTGGGCTGCTGCCGCAGCAGATGGCGCTGTAGTGGCGGCGGCTGGGTCGATGTCATGCTTCTCGATCTCCATGGCTGCCTCCTTCTCCTCGAGCTCCTGCTTCTCCGGGTTGGTGAGATGCTCCAGCAGCTCCTCGGCCTTCTGGGCGTCTTCCATGAAGCACTTCGAGCGTGTCGTGGCGGCGCGCAACTTGTCCGTCAGATCCTTCTCATCACGCCGTGCGTCTGAAAGTCTTTTCGTGATGCTGTCAAGGTAGGTCTTCTGCTGGTCCACGCGCGACTTGGCGTCGCAAGCGAACATGACCCCTGGTACAGGATCACCGAGTAATCCTCCTCGAGCGATCGAACGACAGTGCCTTTTTGGCCCATCTCGGAGGCGGATGCGATCTGCTTCTAAAGCGCGTCTAGCGACCCCATGAGCTGCGAGCGGTGCGCCTTGAGCTCCTCGGCCGAAACAGGCGGCGGGAGCCATAGCCTGTGACCTTGAGCATGGGCAGGGTCTGCAGGACGCGGGAGTGATGGTTGCGGCAGCGGTGGAGCCGCATCCCTCGACGTCGGGGCTGCGTTCTGTGCTCGCGGTGGCTGCGCGGGCTGCTGGCCCCACGACCACGACTGCCGAGCCCACGATTGCCACGGAGCGGTGCCCACTGACCATGGGGCTGGCTTCGCCCTTGGTCTCGAGCGGCGACGGCGAGCGGTCTGCCATCCGGCGTCGATATCGTCGTCATCGGGGTGGAGGCTGTTGTCCTGCTGTGAAGCAAACGCCTGCGAGCAGAACCTGTACACCGTCGAGCTGTAGATGTTCTGGCGCGGGCACGTGCTTCGTTCCCAGAAATTAAGGGGTAGCTGACCACCTCGGCGAGCACCTGGGCCAGCTCCTTGGCGATCAGCAGCGTGAGACATGCCACTGTGGTGATCCGCGAGCAGCTCAGTAGCAGCAGCGACTCGAAGGAGCGTCCTCGCCCTGCTGCGGGCGGCACGCTCCCTGCGGTGCCAAAAGCTGGCTCCACCCGGTCGGCTCGCCTGGGAGCCGCGATGTATGTCACGGGCGGCCCGTTGCCCGCGACTCGAGGGGCGAGCGCGAGACGGGTCGGCCCGCGCGGCGGCTGTCCCGGCCTGGGCTCGTCACTGCCAGGCAGCGGCGCCCGAAGCCCGAGCCGGGATGGCGGCTGACGAGCAGACAGGAGGAGGGAGGAGGACGAGGAGGAGGATCGAGCAGTGGCGAAGCGTCCCGGCTCGCCTATAGCCCCACCAAACAATGTTCTAAGAACCTGCTGTGGTTCCCACGGAATGTTCTCAGAACATTTCTGGACGGGACTGTCTTGTTTTAACACGTCGGGTTCATGTTCTAAGAACATTGTTTTTGTTCTTAGAACATTTTTGGGTTCTAAGAACATTTCGTGGTATGACTATAATAATGCCGGGACGGTCGGTCCCTGCTCAAGAGGAGGAGGAACCACCACAGGAACAGGTGAGGCGACGACGACGACGGACCGACCGACGACGAAGATCGGCGACGACGATCGGAGGAGATCGCAGACCACTATCCCACCACCCTTGCCTCGTTTTCTCCTTTTGGTGCCTCCTGGGAGGCCGTTGTCGCCACCGCTGGATTCTCGTTGAAATTCGGGCCATGACGCATCCCGGGAGTGGTCCGGGGATGATGGAGTAGCGGTATTGGTACCTTTTCTGTTTCCCCGGACCACGAAGACGACGATCGACGAGGAGGAGGGCCGCCGCCGCCGTCGCATTGGCGATGCACGCGCAAAGTACAACCGGATGAGTTTAAACCGGTCAATATAAAACCGGATGAATTCAAACCGGACCAATTAAAATTTGATGAATTCAAATTGCACGAAATAAAACCGGACGAGTTTGAACCGGACAAATTAACACCGGATGATTCCAAACGGACGATTTGAAACCGCATGAATTTAGATCGGACGAATTACAACCGGATGATTTTTAACGGACGGTTTCAAATTTGATGAATTTATACCGGACAAAGTTAAGCCGGACGAATTTAAATTTGATAAGCCAGACGAGGCCCCATTGGGCGAGATTGTAGGTTGACCAAATCTACAGCGGGAGCGAAATAGAGGCGCATCCAAACTGGATGAATTTACACCAGACGAATGAAAACCGCATGAATTTTAACCAGGGGAAATACAACCAGATGAATTTTAAACCTGGGCGATTTACAACCGGATGAAATTAAACTGATCAAATAAAACACATGGAATTACATTTAAGAGATTAAACGGATTAAACAAGACGGATGATATTACATTATGACGAAACAAAGGTGAATCACCCTGGCTTGGGCGCAGGATTTTGCAGGATCTTGCAAGATCTTGCAGGATCTTGCGAAGCCTGACTGACCCTGGTCTGAATTGACCCGGGTCAGTCGATGCCCGACGACATCGAGGAAACACGCCCGGATTGAACAAATCATAATGTCGGAAGTCTGATGCCGCGGACAAAGGCGGCGGCCGCGGCAGCGCCGACGGCGACGCCGACGAAGCCGATGGCGTCGACGACCACATTGATGACGACCCCATACATTCGACGTTTTGTGTTTGCGACACGGCGCCACCAGAAATCCCGACTCTTTCCGCAGGGTCGGTTTTTCCATCCCGAGACGACCCAGACGCCCGAGGCCTGGCGAGGGCCCCCAGAGGCCGAAAACGGCTGGTCAGGAAGGGAAGAACACACAGACACAATTAAGCGTCGATTCCCAAGAAAACATGGGAAAACATGGGACGTTGTGGGAAGACGGAAAGCTACAAGATATATGAAAATATTTGGAATCCTGGGATTTGTGTATACTTCTTGGCGTGTCCCAGGGCCCCTCTATCTGGGGACGACGCCGCCGACGACGGAACTCAGCCGAGGCCGCGCCCGGCGCCGCCCGGCTGCCAGACGCGGCGGCCGCGGCCGACCAGATGCGCCGGGCGCTCACCGCGCAGCTGCGGCAGACGCCGCGCCCGTAGGGGCGGCCTCGCTCGCGGTTTCGGCCCGGCCCCCGTCGGCGGGCGCGCGCCCTTCTGAGGGCCCGCTTCGGCCTCGAGAGTCCCGCCGGCGAGCCCGGCTCGCCGGCGGAGGCGCCTTCTCTCGGACGGGGGGCCGTCCCAGCGGCGGGCGCCTTCTCTGCCGGGTTGGGCACGTCCGCGCGAGCGCGCGCCCGCCGACGGGAGCCAGGCACGGTCGCGTCAGCGCGGCTTCGGCGGCACGGCCAGGATTCAGAGGAGGGCGAGTGGAAGCAATGGCAGTGAGCCTCCTGAGGACCCCCTCGTCGCCACGGTGGGACGCAGCTGGGGACATCGGTCCAGCTCCCCGAGCTGCGCCCAGCCATGGCGACGAGGGGTCCCCGGAAGGCGTGCGTTTGGACCCCGGGAGCGCCAGCTTGCATGAGGAGGGGGCTAGAGGAACAACCACAGAGTGACCTAAGGATCATCGAGCCCCTCACGTACCCAAACTGTTCCTTATGTCGGCGTCTTGACTATAGGACGCCCCTCCGCCTCCTTAGAAGGCCTCCTCCAGCATGCGTCCGCGGGGCCGCTTCCGCATGGCAGTCGTGACCACTCGCGGCCAGCCGGCTGGCCAGCCAGGCCTCGGCACCTCGCGCGCGGCCTCGTCGGCGGTGGCAGCAGGCGGCGGCAGCAGGCGACGGCGGCGGCCACGGCTGAGGCTCGGCGAAAGCATTGGAGTCTCCCTCATCAAGAGCCCCTGTCCAGGCCAGCCACAACTGGGGGAGCTGTGGTCCTTACCCCCCTGGGGGACCCATCGATTTCGACACCCCTCTCTGAGAGATCGTCGAGGCGATGGGTTCCCCCAGGGGGGTAAGGACCACAGCTCCCCCAGTTAATTATGGCTGGTCGGCTGTCCCTCATTCCAAGCATGCCGCCGCCGCAGTGGCGACCTTCGGCGGCGGCGGGTTCGGCGGCGGTCGCAGCGGCGGTGTCTGCGGCTCTCCCGAGCAAGCGGCGCGGCGGGGCAATCTCGAGGACGCGTCTGGGTCGCGTCCTGCGCTAAAGGGGGGGGGGGACAGGCTCAGGGGGCAACGCATCGACCCCCAATCGCCCACTGATTGCGGACAGGGGCCGGATGGCCCGCCCCGCCCAGGAGCGTTGGGTATCGTTATGGGGGGGCGCCAATCGCCGATGTATCGGCGATGTGTATCCGATCACAAGTCAAGTTCCCCCCTTTGGTCAGGCCCCCTATCGTTCCCCCTCCTTCGAGCAGCCCACGTCTTTTGAACAGCTTATCGTCGGGTTAAAGTATTGAAGAAAATAATGTTGCATGTTAGCCAGCGTGGCCCCAATTGCAATTTCTTGCAACCTATGCGGTGCAATCTAGGTGGTGCGGTTCACCTGTCCGAACTTGGAGTTGTCGACTCTACTGCTCGCGCAATCATCCCACCCACCCACCCGCTATTTGGTTTGCAAAACCCATGCGGAAGCGATTGCGATGAGTGCTTGGCGTTGGCTGGTGCATCTCTGCGGCCGCACTGACGCGAGCATGCTCGCGCGCGCAGCGGCCAGCTAGATTGGCGCGCGCGAGCGCGGTGGCGGTGACCGCTCGGCACATTCCAGCGGGCACTTCAGCGCGAGTCGGCGATTTTGGCGGGCGCGGTATCATGGCAACATCGACAACGGTAGACACGATGATGATGATGATGATGATGATGATGATGATGATGATGATAGTAGTAGCGATGCTGGTAACGATTTTGACAGCGACGACGTGGCAGCCAGTGACGACGACGATGCTGATAACGCCGACGACGATGACGGCGTCTTCGCGTCGGTGATGAAGGTTCTGGAAAGACTTCGACATGCGCGCGGCAGACGCGCGAGAGCTTTGACGCGGATCGTGCCCCTCGAGGGCGTTCGAACGAATTCGACGTGCGCGCGAAGCCTGCTTGGTAGAATTGTATGAGAATGTTGAAAGACCCGGGGTCTCGTAAAGAATTCGCAAGAGCGCGCGCAAGTTTGTTTTGAAAACCCGTGTTGCAATACCCTATGATTTCACGTGTTTTTTGGACCGCCGATGTTGAAACTTCTACGAGACCAAGGATTTCGGCATGTGCGCGCGACGACGCGCGAGTGCGCACTTCGTCCTATTTCTTGTGACTGATGTTTGAACAATTGTATATTTGTATAAAAGAGTGCGCGAACATAGTTTCTTTTGCAGTGGATGGCGGGGGGGGGGGGGGGGCGATATTGGCCTGGCTGGGATGGTACGGGGTCATATTTAGGATGGACGATGGGCAGTACCAAATGTTAATTTGCAATGCGAAAATGGGTGCCGATAATCCTGGGAGGGGAGGGGTCGAGTTTTTTCTTTTCGGACAAGAGAGTCCACGTCGTGCATTCTAGGTGGTGCAATTGATGTCGCGCGATCCGCGTGGCGCAAAACAGTGCGATGCAAAGTAATGCAACGCAACGAATAGCAAGACAGGGACGGGCGACGACGAGCCGGCCGGACCGCCACTGGAGCCCAGCGGCGACGGGCGGCGACGAGCCGGCCGGACCGCCATTGGGGCCAGCGGCGACGACGGCGCCGGGCGGCGACGAGCCAGCCAGACCGCCACTGGGGCCCAGTTATTACAGAGCATGAGGAAGAGCCTGTAAGTGCAAGCGCTGTTCGGGGAAGACCGCCGTTGAGTGCAAGTGCTGTCTGGGAGAGAGGGAAGAGTGATGGAGGAAAGGGGAAGGAGGAGGATGTAGGAGGGGGGGAAGCGGGAGTAGAAGGCGACGGGCGGCGGCGAGCCGGCCAGTCCGCCACTGGGGCCCGGTTACCTTGGAGCGCAAGTAAGAGCCCCGAAGTGCTAGCACCTTTTATGAGGAAAAAGCGAACACTGGCAGAGATCCGTGGGGATTCTATGGATCGCTGGCGTCGTTTTCGGCGCCTCCCTTGGCGCGATCCGCTGGCCAGGGAGGGAGGTCCAGCGCCGAGCCAAGAATTCTGCGCGGCCCCCGGAAGTTTACATTTACGCTTGCGTGTCTTCTGCTTCAGTAGGTTGAGACTTCTCATGGTGCAACCTCGGGTCGAGGCCTCGCAGCGCGAGTGTTTACGATTCGTTGCGTCGCCAATGCTTCGGTCGAATTCGGACCCCACGAGCTGCAAAGAAGCAAATGCTGCTGGGGCCGTCTTTGGGTTTTTTTGCGACCGTCCTTGGGCTTTCCGTGGCCTTTTCGAGATCACTTTCGGCCGAAAATCTTTCGAATCAGAAATCATACCCAAAAATGATGGCGTGATTGGCGATGTTGCTTGCTAGAGCCTTACTGGAGGGCCCGTTGGACTTTAATTGTTTGCTCTTGTGGCCCTTCAGGGCCTCTCGGGGACATCTCAGGGGTCTTTGAGCCACTCGAGCTGGTCTTGGGGTGCATGGCAGCCGTCTTGGGGCGGCACGGGGCCGTCCTACACTTGGCCTTGGGAGAATCACCAGGGCACAAACCGTAGCGGGATACAATGTCACATCACGTGGGTACCATTTGAGGATACATAGCGTGGAATATGGAGCCTTGATGAGTCGTTGATTGCGGCTGAAGTTAGCCAGCCAAGAGGAGCAACGAACTTGAAAGCAAGTATGTCGGAGCGGTCGCCATTGGCAACTTGCATAAGCCTTGCCAGGTAGCAGCCGGCGTTCAAGATACGCACGGAATGCCAGTCTGGGGCGTGGTGGCGGATCCGCCGATGGAATTTGCCCAGGACGTTGCGAGTGAATGTAATGACCATTATAGGTCCGCAAGCCGAATGAGACCTCGAAACTCCGAAGACGTCACCAGACGGTCTGTCACTGGACGGTTTGGGGACTTCGGGGGCCCCAGGCGATCGATACAGTCTTGGAGGACGGCACGATTTCCAAAACTGACCGATCACCCAAAATCACCTTTGACTCACCGAACGGCGTGGTCACCTCGCTGATTGGGATCCCCTGCCCCCCGCCCGACGAGGGCCGAGGAGGAGGGGGGCGCCACCGCTGATCGGAAGCGTGTCCGCGACCGGGAGCTTGAAAGGGGACAGGGAACAGTGGAGCACGCCGCGCTACGCTGGCCGCGCTCACGTGCGGCATAAAGCTACACACGCATTATAATATAAGGAGAGGGGGCCAAGCCATTGAGTTACACGACGCGCCCCCCCCCCCCCCCCCACACGAGAGGTCAGATCGGGTCGAGAGCCTTACCTGACTTCGGATAGAGCCCACGAGCCGCGTATTTAATTTTTGTGGCTTGTGAGCTTCGGGTCGACGGGTGGTCTGAGCGTCCCTGACACCTGTTGCCCAGACCCCGCAAATTCCCGTTAGGCAAAATTGTGAAAGCGGAGCAGATGGAGCAGAAGAGAACACGCCCAATTTGTTCCATCTCGTGGCCGAGAGCCCCAAAACGCTCCTGCAGCACCAACGAAGTCGGAGCCTGGCCAGCATCCAACCCGGGCCCCAGGACCACCTCCGCAGCCTCCAGGGCCACAGGCACCGCCTTCGAAGTGAGGGGGATGCGATCCTCCGATCTATCCGCGAAGACAGCCGTCGCTTTCCACCGCTGGAAAGTGGAGGGCCCGCAAACTCGCCTGCTGCCCGTCTGGAGCTGGGCGAGAGAGGCGGGCGTCTTGGCATACAGATTGCACACACTACACCGCCATTCACCCAGCGCAGGAAAGTGGAACAACGCGTGCTCGGACAGAGCCAAGAGGTCCTTACTTCTCCTGCTAGGGGTCGGCCTCGCGACCGCGGGCGCAGACGGGGCCGAGAGCTCCTGGGCCAGCCCCGCGATCGCCTGCGACATTCTGGCCAGAAAGTCAAAAGTCAGCTTGGTGTCTTTAATGCACGCAGCCTGGCACTTCACAAGGGTGTCCGAGACCACATGCGACTCTGGAGCCTAACCTAACAAAGTAATCGGCCCAAAGATGACCGAGGAAATTCATCACACTGGTCGGCGTGGCGACACTAACGACGTCGTCCCATTCACGGTGGGC